TAAGGACAATTATGACATGGCGAGCGAGTATTTTGTACTTCAATTTTATGGCTTCATGTCACTCACAAGTTAGTTTGATGTTACGTACATTATTAACATTACAGAATCCACATATTCCTGCCAGTTTTAATATGTATTTTGTAATCAACAAGTGTGCAACGCCGGTCAAAGTTTCACACTTCTCTGGCCATTATCTCCGTAACCGTTCAACTTTGGACATAGGTGTTTTGGGTTATATCGGCATACTTTAACATAAGGAACACCCTCCCGAAGTTTGGGCCATTCCTCCTGGGACACCCTGTATACTCGTATATATATATATTCTTCATATACAGCTTTCTTCACTCTTACAAACTGCATATGGCACTATTGTTTAATTAAGAGATACTGGGTATACCAAAGAGACTTGAGTACTGTCCAAGAAATTCAGCATTGTGAGGCCAATGTGGAAAAGGAGTAAATGAAAAGAAAAATTACTTATGTGCATGTTTTGCTAGAAAAGTATTCTGTGGACCTAAAATTGAGCATTAGGAAGAGATTTAACAAAGCTGTCTATGCTGGAGAATTGTTCCCAGAAACTAACTGGACAAGTAACAAAAGGACCAGCCCCTAAAATTCTTCATGTAAGTCATCTTCCAGCTGAAGGTATCTTACTGCTGGATGAATACTGTAAAATTTGGGTGTATATGTTACTTCTTTCCCAAAGTACCCTCTCATATTCAGAAGTTTTTATCTTTCTTAGCTCAGTTCTTCAGTAACAAATTTACTACTTCCCATTCATAATTATGTTGCCAAGTACTGGACAGTAGCATGTAAAGCTAGTCAGGGATCTTGACATGTGTAATGTTTAGATAAGCATTCACTTTCAGACAGGAAAATAACAGTTTATATTTGGTAGCAATCTTCATAGCTCTTTCAATATGTGATACATTACTGAATGTAAGGAAGTACATACTCGCTGTAATTTTGTATAGAGGGATGTTCTTACATTTACTGACCAGTTCATGGAACTAAGCTTTACAGCTACCACTGCACCACAAGCCGTGAGGAAAATACAAATTTTGCTGCTTACACTTTACAGATCACAGGAGGCATTGAAAATGTTCTTGTAGGGACTGGCAGAGAAGGTTCTGGTTTACTCTCTCTTAAGTTCTTCTGCAGAAATATTTGTAATATCTCCACAGATATTTTATTTTAGTTCTTCTTCTGTCTGGGAATTACTCTTGTAATCTTTGCCTTTCAAACAACCTTACAAGAAAAAATCACAAGGACTAGTGTCAGATGAACATGCTGGCCAAATATAACTGCAGATGTCTGTCCCAAAGAAATATGACAAAGCCTGCACAGACATAGGCGCAGCAAGGACAACTACTGTGTCTTGCTGGAACCAGCCATTCAGCTTTTCTTTGTCTTTTAAGTTGTCAAGAATCACTTGTACATATCTTTCATAATATTTTCATTAAAAAACACAGGTCCAACAATTCTTCATGCACATACAACATACCAGACACCAATTTCAACTGGATGGAGTGGGACTTCATTGGTTAGATATGAATTCTGTGAACTCCAGCAGCAATTATTTTCCATATTTACATATCCTTATACACGAATCCATGCGTCATCAGAAAATACTGTCAACTGCAGATAAATTTCACCTTCAACAACAGACTGCAGAAAACAGCTGCAAAAACAAACTCTGTTAGTTGGATCGCTGCCCTTCTTGCACCTCAGTCTCTTGAGTGTTTTAGTGATGTCCTATGTGAACATCAAGTCAGGCTCCTATGTCATCTAACTTCTCCTCAGTAAGCACTGGGCACTTAACAATCATGTTGACCTACATTTATTCACAAAACTGTGAAATGCTTGTCTGCTTGGAACTCTTTCATCACAAAATGATGTCAAAATTTTCACCAGCACTTCCTTGCAGACCCACATTTCATATATGTGTCATATAAAAATACATGTTGCTCTAAAGTATATAACACCATGACATAACACACTGCTCACTAGTCTATAACTGAGAACGAAACAGCTACTGGAGCTGATAACTGCAGCCCACTACCAACAGATCATAAATGGATTTTGCCACACGAACCGCAATGCTTGAAGTGAAACATAATGCCGTGAAGTGGTCCACAAAGTTAATAACTTTCCTGTAAAATTCATTACATAAATTGCCATTAGGTAACACAAAAATGCCTAGCCAAAAGCATTTCCAAAACAGAAACACATACGTCAAACACTGTTACCAGTAACAATATTCATCACATGCTCAAGTAAAATACATTCCTATTACCTCTGTTTCAGACAAGATACAGGTATCTTCATATATCTCATGTTTTGTGTTCTCCTTCTGACAGTCTAACATCATACATCATTAATTTCTAGTGATCCTAGGAGACGCTTAAGACATCCACAAAGTGGCACATTCAAACTCTATTCTCAGCCAACTCTTTTAATTTTGTTTCATGTTTTACCTTCTCACAGAGCTTCCTCCTTAATTATGCTGTGCTTTTTTTCTGTTTAACTGGTCCCTATCCCTTCCACAGCATAATTGATCATGTACACTTCTACTGCACAATGACCCCCCCCCCCAAACAGGACTGATACACACCATCAGAAACATTCAGACTGAGTTCATATTTTACTTCCGTTGCCCTTACCTCTCAAGGGTCAGAAATTAAAACATTTACAAATAGCATCCCAAACTATGACCAAAACTTTCATAGCGCCAGTATGTTCACACATACATACGAATTCCACAGGTTAAGAATGTCGCATGGCGTTATTCCAAAGGAACAATTGAATTCACAGAGGCTTAGAATTCCAACCATGAGGTATACAAGGTATAATGTATTTTATAGTCCTGTTGCACTGATTCTCATCCATGATATGTATGTATTGACCGTCGCCTAGGGCACACAGTCTCACATGTCACTTCACTACATGTTTCGGCATCACTGTGCCATCTTCTTTCGCTGCATGCGTTGTATTGCATTACAACACACGCAGCCAAAGAAGGTCACATCATAAGACACAGTATACACAAAATATAGGAAGAACGACTCTCATAGTGGAAGAATAATATACTACGCGAGTTTGAAATAAGACGTATAAGATGATAAATCTTAACAAATTTTAATATATATAAATTTTATTATAGTACATGAAGAATATACATTTTAAATCACTTTATAAACGACACACGATGGCGAGCAGTGCAATAGTTTAGCGTAAGTAACACACGTGAGGATGGCACAGTGATGCCGAAACATGTAGTGAAGTGACATGTGAGACTGTGTGCACTAGAAGAGGGTCAATACATACATGTCATATACAAGGTATATTGGAAAGTTCCTGGACTGTTACTGTTGTAACCGCATTGATCAAAGATGGGAGGGGAGGCCAAGGCAAGCCAAGTCACTGCCAAGTGACACTGCGCACTGTGAACACATATTTTTTTACATGAGTGCTTTTTCTACTTTATGTTTCATTTTGTCTGTGGTGGATGGTAAAATTGAGCAACATGTCTGCATCCAGTTTTGCATGAAACTTGGTAAATCCGCTACCAAAACCCTTGAAATGCTTCGTGAGGCTTTTGGAAAATATGCTTTATGCCGGACAGTGGTTTTTGAATGGCATTCATGTTTCAAGCCCGGTTGAATCTCAGCTGAAGACAACAAATGTTCAGGGTGACCAAGCACCAGCAAAATGACAGAAAATGTTGAAAAAATTTGAGAATTCATCCACAAAGACTGTTGCTGAACAATCCATAAGCTTACAGACACTGGTGAAATCAGTTATGGAGTTTGCCAGAAGATCTTAACAGAAAAGTTGTACATGCACCACACTGCCACAGAGAGTTTGTCCACTGACTCTTGGCAAATGATCAAAAGCAGTGGAACATAAAAGTGTGACTTCAGCTACAAGAGAAGGCTAATGAGGACCCAACTTTTACTCATACCTCTATGATTGTAACAGGTGATGAAAGTTTGATTTGCAGTTATGATCCTGAAACAAGGCAACAACAATCATCATAGTGGAAGAGCTCACAATCACCAAAAGCAAAAAAGGTGCAGCGGGTCCAGAGTTCAACAAAGAGCATGCTCATTGTTTTTTCCAACATGAAGGGGACTGTTCACCGTGAATTTGTTCCTCCTAACAGCCTGGTCAACTCTGACTTTTACTGTGACATTCTGAGATGCCTGAGAGAAAAGTTGCAATGAAAAAGACCAGAACTTTGGTGCAACCACAACTGGCTCCAGCACAACACACCTGCCCACACATCCCTGAAAACCACAGAGTCTGTGACTAACAACTATATGGTTATCATTCCCCATCCTCCCTAATCGCCAGACTTAGCCCCCTGTGATTTTGCTTTGTTTCCCAAATTGAAAATGAAACTGAATGGATGACATTTTGAACAGAGTCTGACATCCAAAGGGAATCGCAAGCGGTACTAGAAACATTACGGAAAATGACTTCCACGGTGCTTCTGAGGTGTGGAGAAAATAATGGGATTGCTGAATACATTCCCAAGGAGACTATTTTGAAGGAGATGGCAGACAAAATTGAGTAAGTTAAGCCAGCATTTCTTTTCAACTTAGTCCAGGAACTTTCCAATACACCTCCTACATACATATAACACTGTACTCACCATGGACAAAGGCGAGGCAATTCCTTGGCTGCGGCTCTCCCCTCCTTCAGAATCACTCCCCATACATGACGGCTGCGGTGGCGGTGATGGTGGCGGTGGTGGTGGTAGTCTTGGAGGTGTCTCTTTGGGTAACGGTGGAATAAATTTGCAGTTATCATCTGCAGGCAGTAGATTCACAGAATTCCCTGCTACAAAACATGGACAGTTAATAAACATCTGTATATACATATATACAGCATAACCTCATTATAACAGACCTAGATGTAATGAATCCTGGATATAACAAAACAAATCTGGCTGTGTAAAACTGTCAAATTTTTTAGATGTTGAGGCACTAAGGTTTTGTAGTTGTATGTAACCAACATACAGACATTTATGTAATCAAATTGTGTGTCTCTACGTTTATTGTTGTGTACTGGCTATGTACCCTATGACGTACTTCGTGAATACCCCTTCACTCAGTCATAGCAGACGTCAGTGATAATGGACATCCGATCTCCCTATTAGTTTGTTATAATTTAGGTTTACTGTATATACATACAGATATGCCCATGAAAGAATAGCAGTTCTGACAACTTAAGATGTTAGCTTCACACTATAAGAATTAAAGCTGGTACTTCTGGGGCTACAAAGTGAAGTGAAATTCATCGCCATATTCACCCAAATACATGCAAATACTGTACTCCTGAAACAGAATTTTCTGTATGTTAAAAAAGAATTATAACCTGCAGTCTCTTCAACTTCCATGTCTGCTTGGGTGAGGTCTTGATCTTCAAGTCTAGTAGCAGGTCCAGGATTTGGAGGAGAAATACGACGCCTTTTATACGCACGCACAGAATTTTGGCTCAGCTGCAATGTCATTTGCTCTTTACTTTGCTCTTGTCTCATTGGTGGACACTGATGGAGTTCAAAATCCTAGCAAATAACACACAACCAATATTATCAATCACATACAATTAGCACTTTGCAGCGTGGTGAATAGAAGAACAAAATTCATGCTTCAGATTGCAATTACATTATCCAAACAAAATAGACTGATCGAGGAAACGTGACACTTTGATAAATTTATGACCATACTGTGAGCACCCAGAAGGATGATACATATACTTTTCTTATGTCCCTCTCACATATTTTTTTCTAGTAGTTAAACATTACACTTATCTGCAAGAAAGGCAGTAATTTTAAGACACAATGGTAAAATACAATGGGTAGTCAAAAAGTTCCCAGAATTCCCCTGCAGGCAGAGAATGAGAGATAAGATAGAGCACACATTGTTGTGGTGGGGAGCTCAGCATGTCTGCTCGAAGGTGCAACAAGTCTGGACAGGTTTCGGCGTGCAATATCGTTACTGTTCCATTTGAGTTAGATGTGAGTATTGGTCTTGTGGCACAATGTTGCAGTTTGAAAAGCATCTGGACATCAAGTTCATGTGCAAATTTGGAAAATCTGCTTCAGAGCTGCTATCAGCTCTGCACTAAAGAAATCTGCAGTTTACAACTGTTTTTCCAGGTTTAAAAATGGACAGGATACACTGGAGGATGACCAGCGCAGCAGGAAGCCTCAGACATCCAGAACCGAAGAAAGATTGAAAGAGTACGACAGCTGGTTTGATGTGATTGAAGAATGACCATCGCAGAGGTGGAGCAAGAAGTTGGTATCTCTCATGGATCCATTCATGCGATTCTGTCTGATGATCTGAAGATGAGACATGTCAGTGCAAAGTTTATTCCAAGGCAGCTGACCACGGATAAGATGGAATGTCACATGATGGTTGCCAGAGATCTGTTTGAGACAAGTACACAGGACCCAACGTTTCTCAAAAAGATCACCACTGGTGTTCGCCTACGATCCAGAGATGAAGATACAGTCATCAGAGTGGCACACAGAATCGTCTCCCCAACAAAACAAATCATGCCTTGTCAGATCAAAGGAAAAAGTGATGCTCATTGCATTCCTTGACATAGACGGTTTTGGGCACCGTGAGTTCATACTGCCTGGACAGAGTCTTACTGGTCATTTCTGCGTGCAAGTTTTGCAGAGGATGCACAGTACAGTTCAGAGTAAGCAGCATCACAAGTGGCAGGGACAGCCATGGCGAGCCACATATCGCTCGTTGTGCAGCAATTCCTCGCCAAGAAAAACATTCCTTTCATCACCCAACCACCGTAATCTCTGGATCTCACTCTGAGTGACTTTTGGCTGTTCCATAATCTGAAAATGGGCCTCAAGGGGACATGTTTCACAACCACGGAAGACATCAAATCGAATATGACAGCCGAACTCCAGAAGATTCCAAAAGATGCCTTCTGCTGGTGCTTCCAACAATGGCAGGATTGATGCAGCAAGTGTGTATGTGCGCAAGGGTCCTACTTTGAAGGTGATTAGGTAAGCATTGCTGTATATCCTACCAATACAGCACAATACCAGCATTCTGGGAACATTTTGACTGCCCCTTGTACATACCTTAAATGAAACAAAACTATTATGGGGAAAAAATAATTCTACACTGCCAATGCCAAACATTTCATTTACAAAAACCAACCATTACAGAGTTTTAAAGTTATCAGTAACTAATAATACACATATGAAAATTTAACCAGATTTAACAACACATGGGAAACCTTGCAAGGTATATTTAAAAGGAGGCATAAGTTTTTGTGTGGTTTATTTAATACTGACAGTATGTACACTATACAGCATTGAATGGCAGGACTGATGGGTGATGAACTGCAGAGGATTTGGAAGAAAACAGTTCTAATCAATATATTATCCTTGCATCTGTCTGAAGGACAGGAAAACCACAAAAGTCATCCAGTAAAGCCAGTGTCCCCATCAAGATTCAAACCAAACACTTCCTGAATACATGCCTATAGTGTCTAGCTAAATCCCAAACGTATAATTAAGCAGTTAAGGGGGAAATGATTCATTCTGTCCTAATACTGAATAAACATATTTACTCACTGTATACAGTAGAACAATTTATTTAAGTTCTGTAAGGAGGGCAGGGAGAAGGGGGGAGAGAAGACAAGAAAGCATCTCTAACAAGATGAACGCATGAAATCTGTAATTCATTTCCAGCTGTACAGCAACAAACATTCACTAGTTACCCATGTAAAATTTGCATTGTGACGTATCATAAACACATTCTAATCTTCTATCAAACTATTGCGGGTGAACACTACAAACATGGGGAGTGTGAAATCTTCGTGACACTGCTTCCTACATGATAATTTTTCACAGGTATATATATGAATTAGGCTCACATGTGCATCCCTTTCATAATTATGTTTCAGCTTGCTTCAGCATTAAGTTTAGAGAAGAATAAGCTTTCAGATCATTCACATTTTTATAAGTTGCATGTACAATACTGATCAGTTTACGGACATTAGTTGTTACACAACACGCTTTCCTCACATTCCTCTTTTTAAAGCCTTCCTCAGTTTAAGTAATGGTAAGAAGATAGGAGTTATCCCTCTGCTTAACTAATTAAGCATTAGACCCCAAACATGTATGTGGAGTGGATGTATATATCCACGTATTCTTGACCTCAGCACTAATTGGAGGCGAGCGATCAGCTTCATGCTCCAGCCAGTTTACCCCCGGTACCCATAGGATAAGAGGATACATGGGCTCCAGAACCAGTCTGGATGATGTGGACAAGGTTAATATTTTGCCCCTACTAAGACTTGAGCTCCAACCCCTCAGCCAGTCACTACACCAACTGCATTATCCCAGTTCATGTTCCTCAGTTTAAGTGCTCAAATCAATTGCTCTCCATAGAAAACCTTAACTGGGAATTCTCTCACCCAAAATAACCAAACCAAACTATATCTGAGATACAGAGATATTGGGTTTTCGGACTTTATCCATCGTCCTGGTTTTAAAGATAACTAACAAAATCACGACGTTTCGGAAACTGGATCTGTTTCCAGCCTCAGGTGAGGGAAAGCACCTATTCTGTTGGGTCCCTCAGAAAGAGCTAGCCTCAATCACCAGGACGATGGACAAAGTCTGTGTGTTATATACACCATCGTCAGAATCCTATTGTAACTATATCCGAGATACTTGCATCTATGGTGTCTGGACTGTAGGGTACATTAAACCCAGGATAACTAATAATTTTATTTATGTCATATTTATCTCTTGAGCCTTCGGCAAATATTTCTCCCTCCTCTGCATATGGTTCTGCTACTTCTGGAAAGCCAAAAAATGTTGTTAAATTGACATGTACACCAAAAGATTGCATTATACCACAAACAATGACAACATTCTTAAGAGAGTAAATAACAACACTCAAGTCACCTTCCATTCATACTCAAACACTACAATATGTAGACTATACACAAATTGTGGAGACATAAAGTTTAAATTAAGCATACTGTGACGTGTTGCGCAATGGAGGACAACCCCTCACCCCACCAGCGGTGACGTAACACTTTTGGAGCGTTGCTGTTGCTATGGTAATAAGCCAGTCAACACCCGCCTCTCCCCGCGGTGACGTAACACGGGATGCCACCGTTGCTACACAGCAGTAAACAACTCCCGACAGCGTTGCTAGCAACACGGCGCCAGACAACAGTGGTGCCTATTACGTGGCTGTTTTCTGTGTTGTCCAGAACGAGGCTAAATAAGGAGCAGCGAAGACTATTCACAGTTAGCTCTCAAGTTCTCAAGGCAGCAGTTCTCAAGTTCTCAAGTTACGAGTTAGCCAGGCAGTCAACCTTTCAGTTGTAGTCTAGCATTTTCCGTCTAGTATTTGTGATACTGCCGATGGCAGTAATTGTCAGATTGTAATTTGTGTGAAAGAAAGAGTGAATGTGAAATAAAATTCGCTATATTCAGTAAGGCGTGAAGTTATTTGTCGCATTACACACCCAACATGTGACAATACTGTAGCATGTCGTACCACTGCTAGGCAACGATTGCAAGAAGGAACATGCATTGCTTGGAAAAGGCTGGTAAACAAGTCAATGATATCCCAGGTATTGCTAGGCAACCACCCATAAAAATAGAGGGACTATTTGAGGCAGTTTTCTCTGTTGGGTCCACCCTGAGGCTATATAGTGAGGACCCCAGGCCAGCTGAGTGAGTTCAGTTGTGGGATATTCATTGGAGAGCAACAACGTGAGCGTGGCAAGCTGAGGAATTTCCACTGTTAGAAGCCGTTGCTAGGGAACGGCTGTTAAAGACACAGCAGGTTGGAAAAAGGCTTAGCAGGTGCTGTGGTGATCTGTGAGTTGTGGAGATTAGCAGTGGCACTGTAATTACTTGTAGTTCCAACTGGTGTGTACAAGTGATCAGTCAATAAATCCAATATCCAATCCATACCCCATCTATAGTCATACTCCTAAAAATGTGACAATATATATTGTACATCAGTTACATACACAGTTTAATGTAGGCTGTCAAGGACACATAAATTTAACTAGCCCTGCATTTCAGTCGCAAAAACATGAGCATATATTTAGCTTTCTTTTTAACTCTAGTCTAACTTCCTTCTTAGCATCTAATACAGCTCCTGCATTTACTTTTTGCCCAGAAAAGAAACACCATCAACACAGACCAGCAGCTGATGTGTCCCATTTGATTTCAACCCACCTGGGTATTTTGTATCATCCTAATGGCAATTCTAAAGGAAAGCTGAAGAGTAATGGTGATAAAGCATCTTCTTGTTTTAGATCATTCTGAATAGGAAATGTACCAGATTTATGTTTACCTATAAGGACTTCAATAAAATGCAGTTTAATTATCCTAGCTAGTCCTATGGGTACACCATACTCAATGAGAATATAGTACAATACTTCTCTCCTAACTGAATCATAGGTTTTTATGTCTATAAATATGGTCACATACAAGGGGGGGGATATGTGTGATGAAAATAATGCGTTCTAGATCGGATGATTGGCATTATTGGCACTTCAGTTACAATCTCTCTTAATTACAACTTATACAGCGCTATCACTGATTTACACAATTTCCAGTTCACCGTTACACATGCACTTGGATTCTCAGTCTTGACTAGTCATCTCCTGGTAAAAATAAAAAAGTAAAAGTAAAGCTATCCCTGTACCAGGCCATGAAGGCCCATAGGGTTGTGAGACGTTGAGGGTTCCACATTATCTAGACAATCGGTTCAAAGATGGCGGTAAGGTTGTCAGCCTTACATGCCAGCCACGCTTTACTCCCCAGGAAAATTATTTAATTAATTCCTGTACTCATTTCTGTTAGAGGCTGAGTGAACCCTAGGCCCATAGTGTGGCTGGAAGGGTTAGGTCAATTGAAAAAATCCAATGACCTCATTGGGACTTGAACCCGTGACCTTCCGGCTTGTAGCATAGCCCCTCAACCAACTACACTACTGTGACCCTAGCCATCTCCTGGTAATAGAATTAAAACAGCCTCACTGTGACTAAATCTTCTATCAACAAATGAATTCTGGTCCAATTCTATCAACTACTCCTAGCTTCAAAGTCTAAAGTCACATTGCGACTGATGGTCAGTCAGTCAGTCAGTCAATCAGTCAGTCAGTCAGCAGTCTTGGTGTCGAGCCCCATCTGGGGCCCATAACCAGATATTTACTACTGTTTTACTGTTACGGTTTTGTTTTTGTGGGGTGCCCTCTCTGACAAGAGGACGGGTCTGACTTTTGTATATGCTGCTGGTCCTTGCCAGCACAGTCTTTCTTGGGTCTGAGTCCCTAGGAACTATATTTTACTATCTTAGATTTGAGACTGCCCTTTTCGTCGCCTCCTACAACTTGCAGGGTCAAGGTGGAGGTAACCATTTTGCACAGACTCAAAAGAAAGCACATTCTCTATTGTTGATGAAACTGGTTTAATGTGCTCTTGCTTAACAATGGACTCCCTACTATTGCATAACAATGGACTCCCTACTGTTGCCACGCACTGAAGCGAGAAAGGTGTTTACCAAGCTGTTGCCTAGCAATAGAAAACACTCTTCCTACTGTTGGATGCACATATTTCAGGCATGTCCTAAAGATGTACGTCCTTCTATTGTTGCATGCATGTCTGTGGTGGGGGGTTTACGGGGCCATTGTCAAGCAATGCTTTGAGCAAATCAATCACAATACTATATGCCCTCCCATTTTTTCTTCCACTATCCAACAGATGCAGAATATCTGATCAGTAGTCGATCCATTATGTCAAAATCCCCACTCATAATCCCCAATAATTTTGTCTATATAGTTAACCCTACCCTAGAAAAGAAACTTGGTGCAATCGAAGGTGAAAGCGGAAATGCTGAAGTGCAGTGGAACAATATAAAAGAATGCATGTTAGATACTATTAGCGAATTATTGGTAAAGTTGAGAAGATAGCAAGAAAACCATGGGTTACACATGAGATGATGAGTAAAATGGAGGAG